CCCGTTTGCATGGGTGCGCAGCTGTGTAGAATTGCAGCCCTGAAAAGGGCTGGCAGGGGTCGCGACGAGCACGCTTCTACAATGACCTGTATGAATAATGAATAAAACGAATACGAAGAGATTCGCAATATAGACGACCTTATCACAAAAATTGATAGGGGCGTACTCCAATGGTTTGGGCACGTTGAACGAATGTGTGAAGACCGAATGGTGAAGAAAATATATAGAGCGAAAGTAAATATTAAAAGGTGTCGAGGTAGACCGAGACTAACTTTCGAAGACCATGTGAGCAAATTGCTCGAAGAGGGGAAGGTCAAGAGTACTCGGATACCTAGACGTGCATGTATGAAGAAGTTAATGAACCTGAAAGAAGCGAAAGAGGTATGTAAGGATCGTGACACTTGGCGATCTGTTCTCTCTGGCTACCCCGTTAGGGATTGTGCGTGAAGATAAGTAAGTAAGTAAGTATCTTTTCACATGTAGCACGCGAAAAGTCTGCCTCGATGTCAGAGATGTCAAAAAACAAGTAAGGGCCTTTTCCAACCGGAACCAACATACAGACACAACTTCAGATCATATAAACAACAGGAGATATGGCAAGGAGGCGTGGCACTTGCGAACGCATCTGGCCGCAAAGCGGCCTGATGTCAGTTTCGGTAATTAGTCGAATGTCAACTTGTGACGTCTTCACTGCTCGTGATTTTTGACAAAATGCCGCGTTGTTCAGTGATTGTTTGCAAAAATAACAGCTGTATTGTGAATTACATGAAAGATGGCATCTCATTTCACACATAAGTACTAAAATATTAATGTTTTTCTTATTCAATTTATTAAAACATTACTTCGTGGTACTAGAAACACGATGAAAAACCAAATCAAATGTTTTCATTAGGAACAAAAACCATTGCTTGCTTAGTACAAATCGACCTGTGAATCAGCTGGTCTAATAGCGCAATGGATAAGTGTTTTACTGATACTCTCACTCACACGATAGTTTCGTGAAGCAGCCGCTGCCGGCTTTTGTGAGTGAATGATAGCGACAGATGTTTTTGTGTGAATAAGTTTTGTACGGTGCATGGTAAATGCACGCTGCGTATGATGAGATAAGGTTTATAATTGGTTGTGTAGTATGTTCTGATTTATAAAATGCGAGTGTGTGCGCGATTGTGTATCTATTGCTTTTACTGATGTGCATATGTAGTAGTTGGCGCGTGGTAGGGGCCAACTGGAGAAACCGGGTTCCGATACATTTTCAACTACTGAGCATATCTCCTTATTTCTTATATCTATGGACACAACTAAAACTATAACCGCAAGAAAAAATGAAGTAAATTGTCCCCAAGCCGGCCGTCACCGTGGGGGAAGCCGACCACCACCATCCAACAAATTTGTCAACTAAATCAAATACAAAAAAGGGACACAATAACGAAGTAGTATATACCTATGTACACTAAACATACGAACCTTGAGAACACCGGAAAGTTTGCAAGAACTAGAGGTAGCTATTAAAGACATCAAGTGGGACATTTTAGGCATAAGCGAGATGCGAAGATTAGGGGAAGGAATTGAAGAGAGAAGCCACTTCATTATGTACCACAAAGAAAAGAAAAATAGAAGAATCAAAACCCTAGAGAATCACATTAGCAAAACAGGAGGCATAAAAAACGCTTAAGGAACTTCGAGAACAGGGAAAAGAATGGATACCGAAGTTAAGAGACAAAACACTGCCAAATACTTCTCGCAAAATAATTCAAAACATAGCGACAAACTTATCGTATACTGTACAAAGAACATAGTTCAATTCATCCAAATATACAATGGTCAGATAAATAATATAATAATATACAAAACCATAGGATCAATGTCTTAGAAGTTATACCAGAAATATTAGTAAAGGAAGTAGAAAAATTTATAAAAAGTCAGAAGTTGGAAAAAGCCCCGGGTCCAGACATAATCACAAACGAACATATGAGAGAGACAAATAAAGAACTAAGCCCAATATTAACAAAGGTCTTCAATGAGACTCTACAAATCGGCTGCATTCCGAGTCAATGGGCAGAATCACATATAATAAATACTTCTACATAAAAAGGGTCCAAAAGACGACATAGGAAACTATAGACTCATTTCTCTCATTTCGAATGTATATAAAGTTTTCGCTAAAGTGATTCTAGACAGAATATCACTCACACTCGACGAAAATCAACCCGTGGAACAGGCAGGGTTCAGGAAAGACTTTAGTACAATCGATCATATACATACAGTCAAATAGCTCATACAGAAATACAATGAATACAATAAAACCATTTACCTGGCCTTTATAGATTATGCCAAAGCTTTCGATAGCCTTAAACACGAGTCGCTATGGCAGAGTCTAAAAGAACAGGGGATCCAAACTGCCTATGTTAATATCATCTAAAATATTTAGTGAAAGTAAAGCCAAAATCAGGCTAGAATCAACAGGAGACGTTTTCCCAATCGATAGATACGTCAGGCAAGGTGACAAAGCTGTTCACAGCAGTGCTTGAGCAAATGTTTAGAAAATTAAGTCTGCAATTTGTGATCATATCCTAGACGCCCCCAACCATTACATCAGATTTGATAGACCACAAATCCTTGCGAAAGAACACTGATTCCTACGAAGGATGATACGGGATTGAAATTAAAAAACATCCTAATTTCAATAGAGAAGGAGGCTGGGTACTACCACCTACTTGGGATCCTATAATCAATAAAATTAAAACTAAACCCAAGCATACCACTGCAAGACCTCAGGACATAGTTCATTTTGCATAGATCGGAGCATAAACAATAATTAAAAAAAGCTGAAGGTACTCCGGGTTTAACAATGACATCGGTACGTCAGTAATCTCAGTCCCCCGTACCATGGGTGCTGGAAAGCGCCCGAAACGTCGGGAATAAAAATAATAGTAAAATAAACGCGATAAAATCCGTAAAAGTAGTTTTAATCAATGTGTAGTGTTCGCGTAAATATAAGAAATCATACTGACTAATCATCTTCGGCGGCTTGTAGAATGTTCTAATAGAAGCTCGCTTCAAGATGTGGCCAATCTTGTCTGTGACACCTCTGACATACAATAGTACACCAGGCACACGCTCGACTGTGGCCGGCTTCACTCGGTCACTGTGACGTAGGTGCGGGACCCGAAGCTTGTTATCGTGCAGAACTTGCTTGATGTTCTGAAGCTCGGCGGCCAGGTGTTTGCTGTCACAGGTCCCTCGTGCTCTCTGTAACAAAGATTTGCCCACGGTAGCTAACTGTGAAGGATGGTGGAGAGATTCACCGTTTAAATATCGGTTTGTATGAATTAAACGGTGAATCTCACGTGTAGTATTCGCGTAAATATAAGAAATCATTATCTAAAATGGCAATAAGAAAAAAAAACGTTAGTTAAAGTGAACACTATTGAAGTGACAAAATTTTGTTCCGTAAACATTTCAATTTTTAGATAGGTAATACTAATAACAAAAACTTAAACTTTAACTGTTAAAATACTAATAAACTGTTAATCAGCTTCCGGCTTCAAATACAAAAAAAAAACATTGTATTTTTTTTTGCTAATAAATTCTCATTAGCAGTCCAGAGTTAGGAATCAAATCAAATCATTTATTTCGCTAAAATATGGGTACAGGCGGATGGATACAGAGTCAACAGTTGTTTCCACATGTTTTGCCTTTTGTGGCATGCGTAAAAATTATTTAAAATAAATATGTTAAAAAACAAATTAAAGTTAAAAAAAATTAGAAATAAACACTTTTATAAATTTTCTTTTTCTTTTATAAACACTATATTTATGTTTTAGGAAAACATAACAAAATTAGAAAAATTAATTTTTGTTCATTTGAGAAGTATCACGCGAAATCCTGGATCTATAGTAATTTACTTAGTTAAGCAAAATCAATAGAAATAAAATCAAAATTTAATGTTCATTGATATTATAAAAGGCAGTATTTATTAGCCACTGCTTTAAACTTTTTTCATTCGCCTTAATGGCTGTTCACGAACATTTTTAGGAACTTTATTATAAACCTTGATACACATTAAGAGGCAATTCCTCTGGAATAATGTAGTTTTACACGAAGACGAGAGAGATGAGTAGACGTGTCGGATCTCTTTTTGCTAGAGAGTTATTATTTTCCTGCACGGTAACAAATTGATTACAATTATTTATAACGAAAACACAGATTTCTAATATATATAAACCAGTTAAAGTGAGAATACTTTTTTCTTAAACAGGGGTCTACGGCTTTCAAGAGAGCCTGCATTACACAGTACACGAATATATCTCTTCTGACTTAGGAAGGCTTTGTTTGCGTCAGTTTAGTTGCCCTACAAGAGTAGTCCATATCTTAAGACGGATTCAACGTACCCGTAGTAAGCAATACGTGCTGCTTGTGGACCTGCTCTGCTGCATTTTGAAGTTTACCTAGTGCAGAAACAAATTGATTAATTTTTTTGGATACTTTTTGTACGTGTAATTACCAATTTACATACCGGTTAATAGTAACACCCAGGAATTGTGTATTTACTGCTTCTACCAATCTTTCGCCCTTATATCTTAAGTCCAGTTTTTGTGGTTTTGTTTTGTAATTGAATATATTTAGTTTTGTTAGTGTTGACTCGTAAATTATCTTCTAGCCTTGATATAACTAATTTCTTGTTCATATATCAGTGATTTATTAGTGTGGGGTATAACAATTGAAGGAATTTTCCCTTCTGCCACTCCCGTGTCTCGGAAAACACGTAAAAGCGTTGAACGTGTGCTCTGTCTCTCGTCAAGTTAATAGTACGAGTTAGATTAAGAGTAAGAGTAAAGTCGAAAAAAAGACAACCCTCAACATACGGGTAGGTGTATGGAGCTAAAAGAGGCGAGAGAGGTGTGTCAGGATCGTGCCAAATGGAACTCCGCAGTCTGCGTCTACCCTCTGGGTGGCGGGTGTACTGTTTATGTTATGTTATAATTTATTTTCTTCTCCAGGTAGCACCGAACAAAACCCTCGACCGTGAGCGACAATCCGTGTTGCGTTTGGAACTAGAAGCGTTCGACACTCCGGAAGGCGGCTCGCAGCGCTTGAAGACATCTGCAGCTGTGCTCATTGACGTGCTGGATGTGGACGATAATGCGCCCACATTTGAGAAGGATGTCTATACTGGTAACACAACTACCCGCATTTTACGCAGAAAGCAATAATTGTACCAGAAATATTCCGAAAAGGAATGAGTATATCTTTTATAAATTTGTGCCTTAGTCATGTTTTTTTTTTCAAGAATAAAGATGACAAACGAACAAACAGTCCTCTTAATGGTAAGTGGATTCTGTGGCAATTTGTCTGTCAGATGAATTGTAACTCCTGAGAAATAAGATGGAATGCCTCGTTTCCAGAAAAGGAGTCCTCGTTCTCTACACTCAGTATATGAAACAAAGTAGTATACAGCTGCTATTTTACGCTGATATTCAGCGAGAGCGTGGTCCTTCTCCGGTCGAGTCGACCATTAGTGCTACAACAATAATATAGTTGCATCGTGGCTCTACCACATATAATTGATTACATTATTTGCTTAATTGCTCCTTAACCTTCTCAAATATAAGTCTTTTTATATTTGAGAAGGCCAGCGGTAGGACATATATAGGCTAAGCTAGGCAAAGAATAATAAAAATACATATAACGTAAATACACGTGAAAAATAAATTATACGAGGGTGGATTGAAAAGTACTCTGCCTAACCAAGAAAATAAACATATACTAAATCAGTTATATTTTTATTTTTCTACATAATCACCATCAAGTTCAATACACTTTTGCCACCTCCCCTTCCAAGCATTTAGACCGTTGAAAAAAAATGATTCTTCCTTAGAGTCAAAATATGCGTCTACAGCTGCTTTGACCTCGTCGTTTGTCGAAAATCTTTGACCTCCCAAGTGCTTTTTTAGGTTAGGGAACAGAAAGAAGTCTGATGGTGCCAGATCAGGTGAATACGGCGGATGCGGTAACAGTTCAAAGCCACAGTTGTGAATTTCAGCCATTGACTGTACTGACGTGTGAACACGGGCGTTATCTTGATGAAACAGGACTTTTCTTCTGAGCATTCCTCGACGTTTTTCTTTTATTTCCTCTCGTAAACGACGTAGTAAGGTGCAGTAGTAATCAGAGTTTATAGTCTGACCCTTTTCAAGATAATCAATCATAATCACACCTTTCGAGTCCCAGAATACTGAAGCCATCACCTTATTTGCCGACAAAATCGACTTAGCCTTTTTTGGGGGTGGTGAACCAGGTCTTCTCCACTGTTTTGATTGTTGTTTTGTTTCCGGTGTACAGTAATGAACCCATGTTTCGTCCATAGTAACAAAACGATTCAAAAAATCATCTGCATCGGCTTCAAATAACTCCAAACAGTCGCGTGAAATAGTCAATCGCGTCCTTTTTTTGTTCAACTGAAAGCAGTCGCGGAACCCACCTCGCAGACACCTTGTGGAAACCCAACTCGTTGACAATGATGTTTTGAGTTCGTTCATAAGAGATGCCTATAATCTCGGCTATCTCTCTAATTTTTAATCTGCGGTCTCCCATTATTAAATCAAGTACTTTTTTAATATTTTCGTCAGTAGTTGACGTCGAAGGCCTTCCAGAGCGGGGTTCATCTTTCACACTCTCTCTACCACGCTTAAATTCAGCTATCCATTTTTTGACGGATGAATATGACAGAGCACAATCGCCTAATGTACTGACCATATTATCATGGATGGCTTTTGATGATAGCCCCTTCTTATGGAGGTACTTAATGACGGCACGCTGCTCGATTTGCTCCATTCGCGGAAATTATGTCCGATTACTTTGTTAATAAATTTATAAAATCACAACTAATTATCGCACACGTTTCGAACTTCACACAATGAATTAGTCTGAACTGAACTAAATAATGTGGGTAGATTTGATTTTTAGAATTGAATGGATCTGTGTTAGGCCGAGTACTTTTCAATCCACCCTCGTACCTACCACAGTCATAAACAAAAATTTTAAATACAAGTCCCTACTATATGGCAATAAAAGTTTATAATAAATTATCACAGGAAATAAAAAACATATCAGAATTAACCAAATTTCAATTAAGCAAAACCCCCCTCTACTCAGTGGTGGAGTATTTAGATAACAAAAAATAACACTATTATGCATAATGATTTCTTATATTTACGCGAACACTACACATTGAAATAATACTAGTTTTTACGGAATTTATCGCGTATATTTAACTTTTTTTAATTACCCGACGTTTCGAGAGCTTTACAGCACCCATGGTCACGGGAAGGACTGAGATGTTCAACGTCCAGCTGTCATAGTTAACCGCGGTTACCATAGATTAAAATTTAACTTCTAATTTTATTTTTAAATTTAAATCACTACATACCCGTCACTACATCAGATTTGATAGACCACAAATCCTCGCTAAAGAACACCGATTCCTTCCAAGGATGATTCGCGAGGCTATTGAAATCAAAAAACATCCTAATTTCAATAGAGAAGATGGCTGGGTGCTACCATCTGCTTGGGATCCTATAATAAATAAAATTAAATCCCAACCCAAGCATACAACTGCAAGACTCCATGATACCATAAGTTCATACTGTGTAGATCGGAACAAAAGTTAAATTTTAATCTATGGTAACCGCGGTTAACTATGACAGCTGGACGTTGAACATCTCAGTCCTTCCCGTGACCATGGGTGCTGTAAAGCTCTCGAAACGTCGGGTAATTAAAAAGTTAAATATACGCGATAAATTCCGTAAAAACTAGTATTATTTCACTATTATGCATTTTATATTTATTTAGCTTCTAAGTATATTTTATGAATATACTTGAAAGCTTGCAGTGTACTCGTCAAATTCGCAGTGCCTGAAAAGGGCGTCTAAGTTGTAAGCACATTTTTAATTTAAGAACAATTATGTACACTTAGATTGCAAATAAATGATTTGATTTGAAATTTGTTTTGTGTAATAATAATTCTATTTCGACAGCCGTTGTGCCAGAAAACGTACCCGCGGGTTTCAGCGTGATTAATATTACTGCTACCGACCCTGATGAGGGACTCGGAGGCGAAATTCGTTACGAGTTTCTGGATGAAGGAGAGGCTAACGGTAAGTCCTTAATCTCATGGTAACCGTAAACCATAATTTTTTTAACCAATAAACTCTTTAAATAAAATAATATATTTATTTCAACCTTTGGCAGTGCAAATAGAAACGTAAACCTAACAGAAATAAAACATTTTAATCAAAATGAAATCGTATTCTTAACAAAAACTTTAAAATAAAATCAGCCGTAATAATTCTAATAAGTAGGGATGTTAAAAAATCTTCAATAGGAGTTACAGCTCTTCTGTCCACGGCACGCTTGCCAGCCGCTTAGACTCTCTCGTTACTGGCATCCGGAGAGCAGCCGAAGAGGGTACCGGAATTGTTAAACAACTTGCATCAACTTCGTCTACGTCGAGCCAATCGGCATTTTCAGACGATATTTCACAGAGGCGCACAATGCAGCTCATCTGCCGTGCTGGCAGCAAGCCGCTGTGGCTGTACTCTACTTTCAAAACGGTCTCGGGCAGTCTTGCCATATACGTAACGCCTGTGCATTAGCACACTCTTGTACAATGTGAAAACGATCACACGGGTCAGATTGTACTGATGGCAAAAGAAATCGTAAGGCATCTGCTTAAAACCTTCTAGAGGAGGCGACAGATCAACGGAAAACCTCACAAGAAGTGGTGAAAACTTGCTAGATTTTTTGTCTAGCTGACTAGGTACCATGACCTTGCTTGGAGTTTTAATAATTGGGTAGGGTGGCGTCAGGAATATATCCGGCAAGACAAATTTCAATGCATTGCTCGAGCGGGAACAGCAGGATTCTTCCGTGCATTTACTCACTTGCAAGAAATATTGCGATTCACGGACGTGAGCGATATACCACGCCAGATTAGCTGGATCCTGCAAACTATCTTCGGGCCTTTTATATTTTGCAATGTGCTTCTACGTAAACACTAACGAATACTGACAACAAAAATAAAATAAAAATGACGTACAATACAGCCGAGGGATTCCGCCCCTGCGGATTATTCCCGCGGATTAAACAAATTTTACGGATTTTATCGTATTCAATTTTAACTTTTTCAATTTCTGATGTTTCGGCGTTTACTTTACTCGTAGTCACGGGGTGACTTAGGTATTTGACACCCGGTGTCATAGTTAACGAAGTTCAACTTTTCACATACATTTTTGGTACAAGCCGTCTTCATAGATATGTCGGGAGCATTCAAGAATGCATGGTAGCCGATGATACTGTTGAAGGCTAAACCAGGGGGGATTCCACCTAACATCTACCGCATGCTGACGGATTATTTTACCAATAGACGAGTAGGCATATTCGTACGACTGCCCGCAGGAATCAGGGGTTCTTAGACCAAAATTGTGGAATTTACTGCTGGACGAATGTTGGGGCTGTCTTTCCCCTTAGGCACGAAAATGTTGGCGTAGGCAGATGATGTAACACTTCTGATGGAGGCGAACTCTAGAGCTGAAATAGAGAGAGCAGCCAAATTTGCACTGGAGCTGGTATCATCGTGGGGAGAGAGGAACCAGTTATCTTTCTCCTCCGCGAAATCATGTGCCATGACTCTTAAAGGCAAGTTACCACTTGTTATCAGGATGGGTATGGAGTCGATAAAAAGCGTAATGTCAACTAAGGTATTGATTGGGTGTCACTTTAGATACGAGTCTGTTTTACATTCAACACGCGAAGGATATTTTTTATAGAATCAGAGTGACAAACGAGTACACAGTCCATCTGATGATAATTGGATGCTGTGGGCAAAAGAAATCTACATTTAATCTCGATTAATAATCAAATTGTCACCCCTGAGGACTAAGGCGGAATGCCTCGATTCCAGTAAAACAGGTCACCGGTTCTCTACGTTCACCGGTACTCCACACGAAACACAGCAGCATTAAGCTACTATATTATGCTGGTATTCTTTGACAGCTTGGTCCATAACGAGTTGAGCTGACCCATTCGTGCTACAACCATAATATAGCTGCGGCGTGGCTCTACCACGTAAAATATAATATGATATGAGAGAGTGAACTGGGTGATGCTTTGGGAAGATGGCGCGGGTATCGGCATCTTATTGGGACACGCTCGAAGGAATGCTGTTGAGAGAACATATACATATACGCCTACAGACAGGATAAGCCCGAAATCGAAGGCGTTATGTGTACGTCATGCCCAGAAAGGGAGAGTGACTGCTTTGGACAAGGATCAAAATAAATAACTTGTAGAGAGTCAATAAAGTGCACGTGGGAAAGAGCCCCGAGCAAGTACCGCGTGCATCTCTTGAGATTCGTTTCGTATAACCGCAAGGTTTTTCAATCTATGCATAGTAAGCCTACAGTATCTTGAAGTCTTGCAGTAGTATGTTTGGGTTTGGATGTCATTTTATTAATTATGGCATCGCGAGCAGATGGTAGCACCCATCTATCTTCTTTATTAAAATTTTAAACGTCGGAAATTAGGAAACAGTTAAAATTGAACACGATAAAATCTGTAAAAGTAAAAAAATCTGATTTTTTTTCATGCAAATCCGATTGTTTTCATCTTTTGAATATTAAAATATAGTTCTTTGTGGTTGGTAGGTCTGTTCGTGATAGAGAGTGCGACGGGCGAGGTCCGCACCCGCGGCGCACTGACGGGGCGCGGGCGCACGCAGCCGTACGTGGTGCGCGTGCGCGCGGTTGACCGCGGCGGACACGACGGCGACGCGCAGCTCGCGCTGTACGTGGGCGACGTGAGCGCTAACGACGGCGTGCCGCGGTTCCTGCGCCCCGCCGCCAGCGACCGCCTGCACGTCACAGAGGTCAGTCAACTGCGTCAGCTTTGTCACTGCAGACGGTGACACTGATGTATGGAAATAAATGTAATGGTCATGTCATTACACGTCCAAGTAAATTAAATAACTAAGGGCCGGTTTACATTTTGAGAAGTGACAAGTGCGAGCGGCAATGACAAGTGACAAATAGCAAGTTGGTGTTCACACATGTGGCAAGTGGATGTCATTATTATGCGAAATTTTCGGGTGTGAAATTGGGTTGGTAATTGTCAAAGTAGTATATAGCTATATGTATATACTAGGCTTTAAAGTTTAAAAATTTTAATCAAGAAAAGGTAAAATTGTATGATGAGATACCAAAGATGTGTGAAGTGCCTTATTGCAAAGATATTGGTGCACGCCAATTTCCTAAAAACGCTAATGTGAGATAAATGTGTCTTAAAGTTATAATAAGGAAAAAATTTAAGCCGGAAAATAATATGGCTCCAGCCCCTGACCTACAGGAGTCTTTAATTTACTTCTTTTCTTGTTAATATGTAGACTTAATGCTTCTTAACTTCGCATCACTGACCTCTATATATACAAGTACGCTGGACTGGCTATACCATAGAAAATGACTGTTCCAATTTGAAGCGCCGCTAAAGGATGTCTTGAAAAATAAAATTGACATAATATGCCAAGGTCTGTTGTCATATTTAAACTGTCTTATTTAATAAATCTATATTTTGAACTTTTAATCTAAAAAATGAAAGTATTTTATGTTATTTGATTGTGTATAACATTAGTTACATAATAAGAATTATTTTTACTAATAATGAGAGTGTGCGTAATCTGTAAAACTCGTTACCAAAAGGGAAGTGGTATAACATTTCACAAGTAAGTGAATTTGCAGCTAATATGAAACAAATTAAAACTATTTGATAATATAAGTACTTAAAAATTTGTTGCTAATCTTAATATCATATATACCAACATCTTTGGCTGTATATTACTGAGTTTTGATAAACAATAAAATTCAATAGGGTTGTTGAGTTCCTTGTCTATAATACTTATCGCTGTTCTTTCCTACCCATATCTGTTAACAAACAAAGTCGCCAACAACAGACGATTATCAAATATTTATTAATTAACAGGTTTCCAAGTGAACCTAGAATAAAATTATGGCTTAAAAGCATAGATATTGTGAATTGGCGTCCGAAACAAAATGGTCATATTTGTTCCAAACATTTCACAGACGACTGTTTTATTAGACATGAGCTAATAAAACACACACAACTGCACCACTTTGAAAAAGTGTAGTATACCGACAATATTTTCTGGTAGTACCAGTACCAGTAAGTATAAAAGTATTAGATTATTATTTCGAATGTTTTTTTTATTTCTTCTTTCCTCATTTTTCACCAAACTCAAGGGCCATTGCCAAATGTCGAAAGGTCGCCTGATGATGTCTAGCCACGTTGTATGTGTTTTAGTGGGCTGAGGCTAGAGGAGATTCCTCTCCCTGTACCGCTGTAGTCGACGTGGAGTCGTAAGGGAGGAGGAGTGTTGATATAGCGATTGGCAATGCGCCACTTGACTATCTTTCGCGACTTTGGTGAGGCTCCACCACTTCATGCTTCCAAGTGATAGTTTTCCCTGGCTCCATTCACATATCGGGCTTGGGGAGTCCATAGGAATGGAATCGGTGGAGTTAGAGAACGCGAAGAGCAGTGTGGCTTGTTTCTGGTGAGCCTTATCTGAGAATGAAAACGGGAGAGAAGTCAGCAACTAAGGAGGGGCTGCCATTGGGCGGCATTATTTACACTTACGGAAAATGATGTAGACCTCAAATCTTGAATTGCGCTTTACAACAGTTGTATTCTGGTTTAAGTTGGTTTACTTGTTTGAATGAATAAACTCTACCACCAACTACCAACTCTGGAGTAACAATAGCCAGTATTGGCTTCTCTACGTTTGTGTTACAAAACGCAAAATGAAGTTATCTTGGTGTAAGACCAAAGAGTAAAATTATTCGAGGGTTAGTTACTCTGGTTTAACAAAGTATTTGGTCGAATCCATCCTTGATTCACGGTTAAATAACCGTGTAATAATGTTATGGTATTCTTTAATATAATGTTGTCCTTAGTTCTTGGACAATTTCATCCGAAGAGCTCGTATCTCTATAAATGTTTCCTCAGTTTAAGATCTTTGTAGAATATTTAGAGACGATACCAGGAGACCCGACGGTATGGGTTTGGTTGCTTGAGAGAGAGAGATAGATAAAGCTTTACTGTGGGATACTACTTGCGAACACTTTGACAGCATCCCATCTCAGGGGTACCTCGTCTAAAGCAGAGGTGGCATTAGAGGCAACTGAACTAAGTAAATTGCCCAGAATATCTAGAAGATGAGTACATATTTGTGCAATTTGTTGTAGAGACTATTGGGCCGTAGGGTGCACGTGCGGTGTAGTTCCTAAAACACTGTATCTGCGACTGATTTTCGCTGCTTGTAATAAGAAGTTGTTTAGTTTGTTGTTTCCTCGCTTGAAGGCTAAGTATAGCCATTCAGAGAGGACACGTAGCCAGCATTCTTGGGACGATACCACGGAAAGTAGGACTGTATGATAATTTCTGTTTTTTTTTTTATATTGTTATTTGAATTTCGAAAATGTCGTTGTAAATAACTGATAATGTAATTCAAAGTTTATATTTTTTATATTATTTTGCTAGCTCGTATCCGGCGCATTGCTGCCGCAGAAGAAGTTGTGGACATATCCTTCGCACAAGTGCAACCAATGAGTTGACTAAGTTTTACCGCAATCTGATGAACGGTATAGCATCGTAGAAAGTACGAACAAACATAAATTTTTATATAGTAGAAAATATTTTACTGTCTATAGACAGACCTATAGTTGATTAGAATAGGCGTTATTATAGCAGCTGATTTGTTTTTTATAATACTAGAACTAAATGAACGGTTGACAATAAATTATTTTAGAAATTATGTTTTTATTTTTATTTTGTGTAGTTAGTTTAATCTTAATAATTTTTAGTTGAATGGTCTAAGGGCTACGATGGCTATCCGAGTACAGAGCCAGAGCACAAAACCAATCCAACTGTAGAGATGTGTAAGATAGGGTAACGTAACATCCCTGAAATACTTTACCGCTGCATTGGAAGACGTTTCCAAGCTACTGCACTGGAAAGGATACGGTATGAACGTCAATGGCGTATACGTCACTCACCTTCGATTTGCCGACAATATAGTCCTTATGTCAGAATTGCTGGAGGACCTACGCACTATGTTCAATGACCTCAATAGTGTCTTCCAACGGGTAGGTCTTAAGATGAACATGGACAAAACAAAAGTCATGTGTAATGTCCTTGTCACACCTACGCCGGTGGTTTTTGGGAACACTAAGGGCCGGTTTTTTGATCCGTAGTTAAGGCGACCAATGGTTAAAAATAACGACCAATGGTTAAATTTTTGTAAAATCCGTTTTTTGACCCATAGTTAGCACAACCAGTGGTTAAATAAGTAACTATTGGTCACAAAATTTAACCACAGCTCCAACAAGGGATTAGCAAGATGGCGGCTAGTTAACTCTCGCATTATCAGCTGTTCTCACTTCTCAGTGTTGTTTGCTCGTGTGATTTTAGTGTGGATTTTAGTGAAAAGTGTTACAATACAGATTTTCTGTGTTATTAATTATGAATTTAAACATAACGAGATACTTCGACATTTCAGAAAGTTCATCTGATGATGAAATTGTTGCGGAATATGTTTTAATGAGAAGACCAAAGGTATTCAGACCACGTAATCCGCCCCTGGGGCATTGGGACGAAGTAGACTTTTGTCAGCGCTACCGTCTATCTAAAGAAAGTGTAATTTGGATCATCAGAAACATAGGAGACGAGTTAAAAAGACCAACTGAAAGAAATTATGCAGTTACGCCAATGGAGCAATTATTGCTTACTTTAAGATTTTATGCCACTGGGAATATGCAACAATGTTCCGGTGATCTGTCTGGTGTCTCAAAATCCACTGCCTGCAAAATAATTCATGCTGTATCAAGGCACATTTGCTTAAAATTAAAATATTTTATTGCAATGCCTCAGACGGCTGGAGATGTCGTTGAAAGTTTTTTCAATATAGCAAAATTCCCAAGTGTTGTTGGTGCAATAGATTGTACCCATATACGTATTGCAAGCCCAGGTGGAGATAATGCGGAATTGTATAGGAACAGAAAAGATGTGTTTTCTATAAATACTCAAGCCATCGTCGATTCAAAACAAAAAATTAGAAATTTAGTTGCTAGATGGCCGGGTTCAGTACACGACAGTACAATTTTTAATAGCAGTGCAGCCAAAGATTTAATGATATCTCAAAAAGTTTGGCAGATGCTGTCTTTTAGGAGATAGAGGCTATGCCTTAAAAAAGTATTTGCTGACTCCTTTGGCCAACCCACAAACTGAGGCTGAGAGGCTGTACAATGAAAGCCATATACGAACAAGGAATGTGGTTGAAAGGACATTTGGTGTGTGGAAGAGGAGGTTTCCTTGTATAGGCACAAAATTGCGAGTGAAATTGGAGAATGTGCAAGCTATAATAGTGAGCACAGCAATTCTTCATAACATATGTGTAGACCGAAATGATGCTTTACTCGATGACTCTACCAGTAACCTAAACATCATTTTGGATGAAAACATTAATACAACATCACCTCCATCGACTCAAAGTGATCAGCAATATCGGCAAGAATTAATTGATACATACTTTGTTTCTTTGCTCAACTCAGAATAAATGTTATATACATGATACATGTAAAGGAATGTATGTTATAAAATACATATAGAAATAAAACATATTTTAAAAATAATATCGTTTTTTAATCACAATCATAACTTACCTAAACTTATATTACATTACATTACACTATACCATATACTACTTTGCTTATATTATTAATATTAAATAACTAATAGTGACTATTGTTCTGAAATACAGCTGCATTTCTTAATTTTTAAAATTTCTAATTTAACTTTTTCCAAAAGTAATTCTTGTATATTTTTCTTAAATACTAC